TGGCCTGGAATTCATCATGAAGCTGAGGCTGGCCTTGAACTCCTGATTAATGTTTACCTCCCAAGTGCTAGAATTACAGACATGCCATCGTGCCTAGCTATTTACCAAGTCTTCAACCAGAATGGATTTTCCTATGGTCCTTTGCTCTCTGGAACAGCGTGGGTGCAAAAACAACAACAGAATTGAGGGTCGTGGAAAGCCAAATTCTTACTTAACTTGGAGCCTCCTGCTTAGCAAAATGAAGCTGTTGAAACATGTGATTTCCTCCTCTCCCCCACATGTTCCAGCACTGAGCTGCCAGGCAGGAGCAAACCTCACCAAGTGAGGATGTAATTCTGCTGTGCTCCCTCCCTCTGATCCGAGATCAGAGATCCACACCAGGTTCCTGATATGGGAAAGCTGACTCATCCTCATGGGATTAACACCCTGTCACTGGCCCACATCACCACTCAAAGTCAGACTGAACATTTCACCTCCTCAGAAGCCCTCTCTGGAGCATCCTGGGAGTCCTTTCTCTAAAAGTACGTGGATAGCCACCTGCTTCTACGGAGTCCTCTCCACTCTGGGTTCCAGTATATCCGCCCTCCCCTGGAGGCTATGTCCTTTCCAGCAATGTAGCTGGTATCTGTCCACCCTAATATCTGCAAGCCCCGCTGCCAGGACAAGAAGCCCCTGCCTCTCCGCAGACTTTATTTCCCTCAGTAGTTTTGTTTATAAATACTTAACAAGCCTCCACAGAGAGTCCTCCCTACCTGTCTATTTTTCAGTCAACAAGTCAATCAGCCACAGGCCAAAATTAGCCAGGAAAAAGACCATGTTTGTATTGTATACATGCAGAATTTTCTTGTCATTATTCCCTAAACAATGTGGTGTAACAGCCATTCACTCAGCGTTTAAACTCACTTAGGTATTACAATGAACGCCGACTCTGAATGCATTGGAGGCCATGTGGAAAGCTTTCCACTCTGGGCAAGGGACTTGATATCTCTGCAGGGCTGGTAACCTCAAGTGTCCTGGTACCTGTCCACTATGGATTCTGAGAGGCGACTACCACTTTCTGGTTTGGAAAACAGGTTCTCTCCTTCTACTTATATGTGGGTCCCCAGTAATAAACTCAGGTGGTCTTCTCACCAGCTTGGGTGGCAGGCACATTACATCTTGACAGCCTTGGTGGTTTTTATTATGACCATGCTAACAAACACCATTTTCCACCACGACCCCAAATAAACACCTGAATGTACACACAGTAAAACTGAAATTAAAAGTCACAAAGTAACAACTTACTTTGTGCTTCATGTGACGTACCCTGATATTTTCTACTCTATTAAAAAATTGCTGGTCTCAAACCCACTAATTTACCATTCCAAACTCCCCAGTGGATCACAGCCTGCAACTGAAATAGTCAGCCTGACTTGGTCTCAGGACTTTGGAGGCACTTTGAAGCTTCCAAATCCCTACTCTGCCTTGTAGTTGTGTTTTCCAGCCATCACGTTGCAGATGCTACATGCAGGGACCATGGAGTAGTGGGGCAGGTGGCTACAACAGAGGGAGAGCACAGAGAAGGAGGGTCACAGACCAGAGACTGTCTGCACAGCCAGTGCAGTCACATGCCTCGTAGCCATGACACTGAGGACATTCAGCTGCTGGAAAACACCAAGGATAGGTGACACCCACTCTGGGCCTCAGAAAGCAAATGGAAGTGTCCCTGTTCCTCCCAACTGGCATGCCCTACAGAGGGTCCAGGATATCTTTTCAACCCCCCCCCCCCATTCTTCTTCTCACCCCAGGGTAGCCCAAAATACGGAGTAGCATCAGATGACAGCACTAGTTGGAAGAGCTGACCATGGAAGCTACAAGTGTCAGTCTTCCAGGGCCCAGATAGGCCTGGTGAGGCGAGGTCCTTCAGGGGTGGGGGTGTCCCTCCAGAAACTTAGAGCTGGTTCAGAGCTCGCTCGTTTATTCAGTAAAAGCTTAACAGTAACTCAGCCATCTCAAAGCTATTTCTGGGGTAGACGAGATGGCTCAGTGCGTGAAGGTGCTGTGTTTGCCACCAAACCTAACAACCCGACCCACAGGGTTGAAGAGAGAATCAACTTTATTTCTTTTCTGAGACAGGCTCTCTCTCTCTTTCCATAATGTCCTGGACTCACTATGTTAAACCAGGCTGGTCTTGAACTCAAGAGATCTGCCTGCCTCTGCCTCCCAAGCACTAGGAATAAAGAGGTATACCACCATGCTAGGCAAGGGAGAACCAGCTTTTGCAAGTTGTTCCCTGACCTTTCATATGCGCTGGGCCTCATGCCCTAACCCCCATAAAATAAATAAGTAAATAAATGCAATAAAAATCCCTTGGCAATTTTTTTTTAACAAAAGACATTTCTCATAAAAATTTGGCTTTATTTTTTCCAGCACCATTTTAAAGTTCTAAGGGGAAATAAGTCACTTTAAAGACATCCCAAGCTCTGACTACAATTACGGTCCTGTGGGAGATGAGCTGGAGCTGGCAAGCAGCACAAAGCTCTTTCCCACTATAGGACACATGGTCCTTGGGTTCACTGGCAATAGTCCCCCTCCTACCCCGGGGCTTGTCTTACTCCAGAAGGGCTATAAAGGATGTAGTGTGGCCTTCCCGCTGATTTGGAAGTGGAACAGCCACTGGGTAACCATAATGGACCAAGGAGAGGTAGAATTGGGGCAACTCAACAGGGAATGATGGCTGCCTCAGTCCGTTCCTTCTCTCTAGATGAGAACAATCAACTCTCCTGCAGTCTGATGGCGACCTGAGGTTACAGAGCACCTCTAGACCAACTGCTGTTTGGGGTCAACCAGGGGTCTTTGCTGGATAGAGACAGCTCCCTCTCCACCCTGGCATCTCTGTGTCCCCCCTGCACTGGCCTCTGCCTAGGGCTTAAACTGACTAGGAAAGAGCCTAGGCACTGAGGTCCCCTTTTACCTGGCCAAGTGCCCAATAGGCACTTGGCTACAAAGGCTAGGAGGACCTCTTGGAGCCTCAGTTTCTCCATGTGTCATGGACTTGCTAAGCTGTAAGCACATGTGACAAGTTATTACTGTCATTCCATAGAAAGGCAGAGATGTGTGTATGTCACAGTGAGACAAAGAGGCCTGTCCTTGCTATGGCACTGCTCTGCTGAGGGACATTGTCAATGCTGAGAGACAGGAAAAATGGAAGTGTCTGGATCCCCCATCTTGCCTGACATGGTCAGAGTCACATCATGGGCTGTGGCCAGCGCAGATGTTTAGTCTGTTCCCAAGCTTGGAAGAGAGACCCTTTTTTCTCATCTCTGACCACCGTCCGGGGTAGCCGGTGATCTAGGTGGCCACTGACCACATATCACTTTCACCCAGAGAGTTACCCAAACTTTGTCCTGGCCCACCTGCTCAGCTCTGGACTTGGCACTGACCATGGGAGCCCTTGCCTGATGGCTAGCTGACTTGGATCTGCTGCAGGAAGCAGCAGAGGAAGGGAAGAGCCAGTGAAAGGCAGGGGAGGAGACAGAGCTGGGAATACGAGACAGAGCTCAGGACAGCTTGGGTGATGGAGGTGGCACAGAAGGGAGACCTTGCAGTGAGAGGGTACCCTGGGGGTACTCTTTCTGCTTAGAGATGGTACAGAGGACCAAGTGACTAGTCAGTCAACTCAGGCCAGACTGTTCAGGGACCCCAGGCTTTGGAAGTGCCCACGGCCAAAGGCTTCTCTGAGACCAGCGGGGGAGACGCAGGGCTGAGGTTCATAATTGTGTGTTTTTCTTGTGCAGTCTCTCCATGCAATCTAATGGGCTCTTGTAATTCTTAGGAGCTCATTTTCCTCATTAGTCAAAGCCAGTGAGATGTCTCAGCCAGTGAAGGCACTTGCTGCCAAGCCTGATAACCTGAGTTCAATCCCTAATATGTACACGGGAGGAGAGAACTAGAGAACTAATTACTGCAAGCTGTCCTCTGTCCTCCATATATACTCTGTAGCCAGCATGTGCATGTGCACACACAAACACACACATGTGAACACATACATACGATAAACAAGTAAAGGTAATTTAAAATTAAAAGACAACAATAACAAAGCAGACCTAGAACTGAAAAGGTCATCTGGCTTCACCTCCTCCCAACATGGCCAGGTCAGAAGTCTTGCCCACAGCATTCTGGATATTCAGGCACTCACTACCACACAAGGCAAGTATTGGGCACAAGGCATGCCCCTGCTGCAGCCCAAACCACTCCAAAGGCCACTGCCTTTAACAAGTGGCATAAAGGACCATAAAAACACATAGGAAAAATCAGAGCCAAATTGAAGGGGATTGGAGGTAACTTGGCTGACATTAGAACAGCTGTAATGATAGAGGCACAGGGAGAGGGTGAGACGGGGCCAGTGGAGCTAAGAGCCAAGAAGATGAGGACACAAAGAGACCAGTGAGCATCTGCTGTCTCTGGGGACATCAGGCTCCTAGCTGGAGAGGACACTCAGTTCTGTGAGGTCCTGGTGTGACAGAGAAGCACTGAACTGAAAGGAGGGAGGGACGGCACACTCTAAACCTTAGCAGAACCCAGCCTCTGGGGGCTGCTGTTTATAGCAGGCACTGGCCTGCCTGCCGCTTCCTCACGGTGGGGGCCCTGAGAGACTATTCTGAGCATGACAGTCAGTGTGTGGCCCCAGCTACTTACTGTGAAGACTCAAGTAGAGCTCAGTATAGAGGGGCTGAAGGGGACTGGAGACAGCCAAGGGTGGCAAATGAAGATCTAAAGAGATGGGGCTTGAGACCCACACTATCCTGGGAAGTTCAGGACTGTGCTATGGGAAAAGCCCAAGCCGCTGATGGAGGTTGGTGTCTGGCCTAGCACCTGGCAGGTGGCAGGGCTGTGCAGTGGTTATCTTTCCAGGCTCACTGTGTGGCACAGCAAAGTTAAGCCTCCCTTGTGCCCACAAAATATAAATCCCGGTGCTCTACTCTCTCTGCAGAGCCCCAGAAAGCAGTAGCCACACTTACCCACTATCTCATTCTCCTCCAGGTTGATGGTCTCCAGTTCAGGCAAGGTGGTTAGCTGCTCTGGGAAGTCTCGAAACTGGTTCCGGGACAGGTCGATGGCCTTGAGGTGCTGCAGGCTGCTGACTTCATTGGGGAGGCGATGGAGGTAGTTGCCTTCCAGGTGGAGCTCTGCCACAGGAGGGAAGAAGGACAAGTTGTGAGGGAAGGGGGCCTGCCCAGAGGCCACCAGGATTGCTGCCAGTGCTCAGCCAGGACACTGAGAATGACCCTGCCTCACAGGAAGGCCCCAAGGGGATGGCTCCAGGTCTGTCTGCTCCCACCACCCCAGGGCCTTCTGCCATTATTCCAGCATAGGTACCCCCACTTTGGCCCTGTAGAAGGCTCTCCTAACAGGAGCAGGGGCCCAAAGATCCAGGTGTGATAGCTCCCTCAGACAGGCCTTGTGGGATGTATTAGGATATGCACCAAAAGGGTCACAACCTTTCTTCAAGGCCCTCTTTGCTCCAGGACTTCTGGGGTAGCCCAGTTCTGTCTTGTGTCCTTGGTTCCTCACCTAGCCACTACCAACCACACATGGGTAGGTTCCTCCCCTGAGTGGTCACTGTGAAGCTGACCACTGGCCTGTGGAAAGGGCTGTCACAAGGAGGCCCAGACAGCACTGAGAGATGGACCAGGGTGGAAGCTGAAGCTGAAAAACTTCAAGAAAAAGGCTCCTGGGCCAGATGTGGTGGCACATGCTTCTAATCCTAGCATTCGAGAGGCAGAGGTGAGTTGATCTCTGTTGAGTTCAAGGTCCACCTGGTCTACAGAGTGAGTTCAAGGACAGCCAGAACTACAGAGACCCTGTCTCAACAACAGTAACAAGAAAGGAGGAAAAAGGAATAAAGAAAGAAAAGGAAGAAGAGAGGAGGGAGGGAGGGAGGGAGGGAGGGAAGGAAGGAAGGAAGGAAGGAAGGAAGGAAGGAAGGAAGGAAGGAAGGAAGGAAGGAAGGAAGGAAGGAAGGAAGGAAGGAAGGAAGGAAGGAAGGAAGGAAGGAAGGAAGGAAGGAAGGAAGGAAGGAAGGAAGGAAGGAAGGAAGGAAGGAAGGAAGGAAGGAAGGAAGGAAGGAAGGAAGGAAGGAAGGAAGGAAGGAAGGAAGGAAGGAAGGAAGGAAGGAAGGAAGGAAGGAAGGAAGGAAGGAAGGAAGGAAGGAAGGAAGGAAGGAAGGAAGGAAGGAAGGAAGGAAGGAAGGAAGGAAGGAAGGAAGGAAGGAAGGAAGGAAGGCAAGCAGGCAGGCTGGCTCTGTGTCTGCTGTGTTTGAACATTTCCCTACTGCTACATCCCATGCGAGATTTTCCCAGCCTTTTAGTTCAACTCATAGAGAAAAGGACTCTCTGTCAAGACCCAGAGACGACAGCAGTAACATTAAAGAAAAGAAAGAAAATAAGGAACACAGACAATAGAAAGCAGCTTCATTCAAGGGAGGCAGGGACACAGTGAATTGGAGGGAACTCTGCAAGACACTGAATGCTCTACAACTTGGCTAACCCGGGAGGCTTCTATTTGTTTTAATATAATATTTTCATTGATTTAGAAATTTCACATAATACACCCTATCACATTCACTTCCCAGTCCTCCCAGGTCAACCCTTGTGACCACCCCAAAACAAGAGAAGAAAAAAAAAAAGAAGAAATACCAAGTCCAATTTATGTTGCCGAGGTATTCACTGGAGCACGGTCAAGAGGCCTGCCCCTTAAAGAAAACTGAGTTTTTCCACCTACATCCCTGCCAGAAGTCATCAGCTGTGAAGAGGTACATTTCAGCATCCCTATCACAATTTTTTAAAGAGTTCTCTTCAATGGCTTCCTGCCTAGACTGTTTCTTTTTGGAGGTCAGGGGGAGAGAGATTGTCACAGAAGGAGAGACTCCTATTTTGTGATGACCTATTCAGCTATGTCCATTTCATATACGCCTCTGCCTCTTATTCTACTCAACAAAAGAACAATATTAGTATAAGGCAGATATTAACTGTGTGGCTATAATGTAATTGTCAGAAATACAGTTAAATAAAATATGGTACACTACAGAAAGGAAGGAAAGAAGAGGCTCCCATAGGGGCCCTTGCATAGGAAGTGGGAAAAAAAAAAAGAACCAAGATGAAGAAGATAAAGAGTATAGCACAGGGCTATGACGGGGAATCTGCTGATGCTGGAGTGTGAACCCCAACCTGGCCACCTCCAGCTGACTATGTCATTTTGCCCATTTAGATCCCATTTCCTTACCGGAGACAGGTGCTGGTAGGTACCTCATGGGGATGTAGAGAACTACGTCAGTTCACACAGGGAAAGCACCAAGAGAGATGGAGGGGACAGGATCTGTGCTTCTGGAGTGAGGACAGGCCACTTGGGGAGCAAGACCAGCCACATGTCACCTTACACTAGCCTGCTTCTCTATGGTACAAGTGTCCCGACTCTGTCTGACCCCAAGATCTTACATCATGTCCCTCAGCTCTTCCACCCAGCACCAACTTTGTGGACATGTGACCCATGCAGTCCCATAGGGTCCCATTCCTTTGGAGTGGAATGTCCATATGCCATATTTTCTGTTTGTTTTGAGACTCGGTCTCATCATACAGCCTCAGCTGACCTCAAAGTCAAGATCCTCCTGCCCCAGCCTCCCAGGCATGTCCCACTATGGCTGGCTCCCATGTACAGTCTTGAGAGTCTTCATCATTCTCCCCAACTCTGTTTTATAAGCAGCTCTGAGTTGTGATGTCTGAGTTTACATGGAGCCCTGCCTCCATCTCTGGGCTGTCTGCAGCTTCCCTTCCCCATCCTTCAGGCCTGCTTAGACTTACACAGCCCTCCACCTTCCGTAGGGAACATCAGAATCAGGTGTGTCTATCCTGTGTTGTCTCAGGCTGCAAACTGGTGGCTGTCCCTCATCCCAACCTTCCCAGGGACCTTGGGCTACAATACTGTAGTGTACCTGGTGTGGGTGACCAGTTCCAGTTGGGGACTGAATTGTGGCAGACTCACACTCTGGGCCATCCCTGCCCCAGGTACCAACCAGGTCTTTTGTTGATGCCCAGGGTTAAAGATGAGGAGCTGGAGTTTTCTGTTTGTTCAAAGTTGGGGGCTCTCGGTTAAGGGGACACCTGGTCAGTGTGGCAGTCTAGCATCTGCTAAGAGCAAAACAGCTGCCATCAGGCCTGAACATGCTCATACAGGCATCTGGCTTCGTGGGTGGTCCTGGGCAGGAAATGGCCTGCTTCTCTTTTTCCTTTTAACCTGCCTGAGCCTGGCTGGAGTCTGGTCTCTTTGGTCCACTCACAGCACCTCTAGAAGCCAGCAGTAAAACACAAGTTGTCTAATTCCTGGGTTTTGCGTGTGAGCTAACTGCTCCTGTAATTGCTCTTCAAGCAGGTTTTGTGTGACATAGAGATGAATTGTATAACTTACCCTGTCTTTATTTTTCCTTGATGTTAAGAAGTAGCAAAATGAAAAGCAGCATGGCAAGCAATGGGAGAGAAGAAAGCTTTCCATTTATTTTACAGCACTTCCCCCTGAACAAGAGTCTAGCACTCCATCTTTGTAGCCAGCCCAGTCTCTTCCTCTGTGCTCCATGTTCTCAGAGGGCTTCTGTGATGTGGACCTCGGCTGATGGCCTGCTGAAATCCCTACAAACCTGAGGGTTTGCCACAGTAGGGGTTCAGGACCTTGTCCCCTTCTGCAGGGCCTCTGGATGCATGTACACACATGGTTCTAGCCGCACTGTAAGTCCTCTGCTCTGTTATGCCAAGGCAAGAACTGCATGGGATTCTTCATTTCTATGACCGGCCTCCTTCAGGGCTTATGTGGTCACTCAGAACATACCCAATGATTAATGCGGGGGGGGGGGGATCTTTGGCAACATCCCCAATCCATGAGCAAATCCAAGACCTGTTCCATGCAACCAAAGATCGACCCCTTTAGTAGCTAGGCTCTTGAATAACCATGCTTGAATCATAAAACACACCTATCTCATGGTGCTACACGGCTGTAGTTCAAATAACCAGGAGACTCGGGTAGGAAGATCATTTAGTGCAGGCACCTGGAATCCCATGTCTCATAAGAACCCCTAATCCCTGCATCTGGAGAATGGTTACTAGTTAGAGTGTTGGGGTAATGCTAGACATCTAGCCCTGGCCAAACAGCATTTTCTAAGGCTGAGCAGATTATTGCCTTGGGGCCTTCATAGTTTGATTGATTGATTGATTGATTGATTGATTGATTGATTCATTCATTCATTCATTCATTCGCTTTCCTCCTCCTTTCATTCCTTTCCCTTTTTTCTCCTTCCCTTCTTCTGTTTCTTTTGGGGTGATAGGATCTCATGCAGTCAGGGTTAGCCTCAAATTCCTTAAGTAGCTTGATCTCCTGATTCTCCTGCCTTGACCTCCCAAGTGTAAGAATTACAGGTTAGAATTACCACCACACCTCATGTATATTTGGTGTCGGGGATCAAACTCAAGAGCTCTATGCATGCTAGGCAAACATTTGAAACTGGACTACCACTCTAGGGCCCCATACCCCACATGTGGAGGCAGGGTTTCACTTTGTAGTCCCTGCCTGCCTGAAACTTGATGTACAAACCAGGCTGGCCTCAAACTATGTGTAGCATTCTAGCTTTGGCTTTCAAAGTGCTGGAGTAATGGGCAGTCTTCAGTTCCTGTTTCTTAAAATGTTCTCTACTGTGTATGTGCAAGCCCTGCTGCCTCATAGGAGCTTGTGTCTCCACTCAAGCATCATCCCATCTAAAGTGGGACTCCCTCCCCTTGGTCACTGTCCTTCCCCTTCAGGACCTGCCCCTAGAGATACCCCATTTCCTAACACACATGATGTCTGTACTCTGCCTCCTGCTGTGAGAACACACTGGCTTGTCAGCACTCTGCATCCTGCTGGGAGAATGCAAGCTGCCCTAGAAAATTCTCCCCGACAGTGCAGTCCAGAGTGAGCATCCAAGAACACCCAAATGGTCCAGTCCAATGAGCACCCAAGAATACTGGGCAGGTAAACAAACCAACAGGTGAATGGATTTCAGCAACACCCTTACAATCCTGCAAAATTCCTGTTCCAAATACATCACAGTTCTTCCTTAAATTGATTTGTTCCTTTTATCAAAAAGGAAAAAAAAACAAAACCTATT